ATCAAGGACTCAAACCAGAGTCCGCCATGTGGGAGTCTAGCACCTTAACCACCATGCTACCTGGTGGCCCTAGTAACTCATTAATTTTTGAAAGAGATCTTCAGTCAATAAATAATTAAATCTATAATTAGTTCAATGACCAATTCTCAGTGTCTCCTATAGTAACATGGGAATTATATGATAGGCATGAGGGATGCAGGACTGATGATTTTACTTTGAAATATGATGTGCTTAAAAAAATCAAAACAATGTACCGAATTGAATTTGGTTTTCTTTTTTGAAATGCCTTTTCTCATCTTTATATGGCATTGTTGTAACTCAGAGTTAAGAGAATTAACAGAAACTGGAGACCTCAGAGACTATGGTTAGTTCATTCTGTAAGAAAATGTAAGATTTCAGAGAGGTGGTTTCAGTAACATGGCAGATTATGCTATTGCAACTATGTTGAGAGATGCCATTAAAATACTAGTAAAACACATCACAATTCTAGGTGCACTATAAATATAAATTGAACAATACACATAGCCAAACCTAAGCCAAAGAAATGGGAATACATAGGTATAACAAATAAAAACAAAACTCAAAGAATTATACATCAAAGTTGAAGCTGTGGTGGCCCCCTGAGGTTTTTAACCAGGAAAAAGAGCCTGATGTTGGAGTGTGGTGTGTTAATTCTTCTTGTACAGTAGATATGGCCTCAGATCCACATGAAGCAGGAGGCTTAATTTGGACCCCTGAATAAAACAGTTGTAGTGTATCCTCTTTTTGAAGGCTAGTAGAAAAAAATACCATGTGAGAGTTGGAAAGAAAAGAACAAAATAGATAGATTTCACAGAAAATATAGTTATTTTGTTATTTATTTATTTATTTATTTATTTATTTATTTTTGAGAGGTTTTTGCTATAGGGCACGTGCGCTTGCCAGAAAGAGAGAGAGAGAGACAGAGAGACAGAAAGCGAGAAATCATCTCCCAGGGGGGATGGCCACACTGCAATCCCTTCTCCTCCATTCTCTTCTCAGGATCTTGGACACGCATGCACACACGCCCCGTGTGAGTTTAAGACACTGGGTCTAGGACTTGAACCATGGTCAGCTACATGGGAGTTCAGCGACATAGCCATTACACTACTTGCTGGTCCCACAGAAAATATGGTTGTCAAAAAAGTAAATTGCAGGACATCTCTGGATAATCTAAACTATTTTAGCACGTTTGTCAGATATAAATCAATATTGAAAAATTAATACTGTTCTATTATTTAAGTAATAATACATTAGAAACTATAATTTTATGAAAGACTTAACCATTATCAGGACCAGCAGATGGTGTAATGGCTATGTTGCTGGACTCCCATGTAACCGACTGCAGTTCTAGTCCTGGACTCGATGGCTTAAACTCATGCTGGGCACGTGTGCTTGCATGCTCAAGATCCGGAGAAGAGAATGGAAGAGAAGGGATTGCAGCATAGCCATCCCCCGTGGGGTGTGATTTCTTGCTTTCTGTCTCTCTATCTCTCTCTGTCTTTCTGGTGAACACATGCGCTCTATAGCAAAAACCTCTAAAAAAAAAAAAAAATTAAAAAATTATCAATTGCAATTACAACAGAAATTTGCAATTACAACAGAAATTTTAAAGAATCTAGAGATAATTCTCTCAAAAGAGGTCTAACATTGAATTTAAAGATCATAGAACTTCATAGAATGACAAAATAACACATTAAATGGGAAGATAAAAGTGATGTTAAGGAAGACTCTGTGGGTTAAAAATGTCAGTTGTTTTTAATTACCATATAAATTTGTTGCATCCTAATAAAAATCTCAAAGGTTTCTTTTGAACATCGAACTTAGTAAATTGACCTTTAAAATCTATGTAGAAGTTAACAAGCCAAGAAGAGGTAAGGCAAATTGAAGAGAGAGTATAGAGGGAGGAATTGCCCTGCCATGTGGGAAATGATTAACTCTAATACAAATGATGGAGTAGTGCTGGCATAAATACAAATAATGGAGTAGTGCTGGCACAGGGACTGACACATAGATGTGTATAACACACAGGAGAGCCTAGGAAGAAATCAAGCACTTATCAATAATTGGCATATGATGCAGGTTCATTTGGCAAGACCTGGAAACTCTGTAGGT